TGCATTGCAATATTTTGAGCAAAACTGTGCTCTTACCCTGCTAATTGAACCTTCACACTCTGCTCTTATTGGTACAATGTGCAGTTAATGAAGATTCTGGTTCAATTTAACCATGAAACCTCCCACACTAAAATGACAGGTGTTTCATTTTCACTGTCTAACCCCTGTAAGTTGTATGTTAGATGTTATAAAATAGGCTGCATATTATAAATTGTACAAACATTCCTACTTTGGGAACAAAAAAAAGTTTACATCAATCAATAAAAGCCCCAAAGTAATATGATGTCAATGTCCATGATGGATGTACTGTATATAGTTCTCTGMTCACAGCCGTAATAATATTTCTGAACATTGTAAATCTTACATTACTACCAGTCTAATCCAGGATTGGTCAGAATTATAGTTAGGGACCAAGAAAGAATTATCAATGCTCGTTCAAATGTAAACGTTAAACTTGAGTGCCACATTGCTTGATCGTGTCAGTACATGACATATGTGCTCCAATAACTTCAACATTCTGACTATAATGTTGGGTTCTTTACAACCTGTCTGGCTGTTATCTTTTCATCCTTGTCCTACTTTGTTGTTGCAATACTGCTCACCACAGGGGTACTAAAAGTGATGGAAGGGGCTGCTGTGTTACCATAACTAAGCTGTAAATAACTTGTACTTTTACATTTCTGATATACACTGGTTGAGAATTGTTGTGGTGTCTCTGGAGCAGTTTTTCCTCAAGAATACTGCCGGACACAATCTAGCATGACAGGGAGTGTCTCGACAGCAGCACCCTTGCCCAGACCAATCATCACRGAGCTGTAATAGTCTTCCTCTGTAATCTCTAGGCTAGCCATTCTTATATGGCAGAGATTGATTCTGCTTACAAAAGAATCGCTGCGGCTATATAGTGAGTTTGGCCTCTAGCTTTCAGAGTTACAGTGTGTGGTCAGTTGAGTCCGGTGAAACCCATTATTCTTCTGTTCAGAGGCTACAGAGGAAAGAGGAGTATCCCCTCAAGCACTGAGCCCAGCAACATCTTTACCCGTCTTTGTGCAATATTGCACAATCTGGTTGAAGGAGTCATTCTTTTTATGCCTGATAATTAGCTCTTTTGTGTGTGTGTGACTGTCATTACTATCAACAGACATAGTGGCAGTTTTCAAATAAGCTATTGCCTCTTACAGCACGGCTCCTCAGAATTCAAAATGTTGTTTGGAGGCAGAATCTGTATTTATTAAAGCAGCCTGCTGAGATCAGAAGGATGTTACCTCTGTCTGCATTTCAAGTCAGTCACCTCCTCCTGTGGCCTCTCGTGGTCCTGCCGTGACTTGGCTCTGTTTGATTCTGCTGCGGTCAACAGAGAGCTGCTCATTAATCTTAGCCACACTCTGTCCCACTTCTCTCCATAATCTTCCTTCTCCTAATTTCCCTTATCGGTCACACTGACTTTCTTTTGTTTGTGTTTGGAAGGCTTACTCTAGGCTGTTAGCCAAAGGGTGCAGACAGAGTGCAGAGCGGACTGCGGCAGCTTCCCTCCATCCGTCATGAAGCCAGGGGTGGTTTATCATGCCAGGTTTTGTTTTCYTTTCTTTTTTTCTTCCAGCAAATRCTCATTCATTTACAGGCGATAGATTTTGCTGAGAGTATTGATGGGGAAGCTAATGTTTTTAAGTGCAAGATTACACCACATTTAATAATGATGTTACTTATTGCTGCTGGCTCTGCACACTGTCATTTGTCATGCACCCTTACTCTGTGTTTGTTCAATCCTTGCACAGCTCTTCCTTCCTCCCRCTAATTTTATCCCACTCGAGTCTAATCTCTTTATTGCAACTAAATTGTTGTGTTGCTCAGTAAACGTCAACAAGACAGGTCCATCTATTTCATCAGCACTCCGATGTCTTTGAAACTATCAGCTGCTGTCAGGAGGGAGYCCCAAGGCAGTCAGTGGTGTCCTATTAAACTCCCAGTGCTCAAATTAAAACATCAAAAACACGCTTCTGATTTTGTGAGGGGAATTTGGGAGAACGTATGTCCCCTATTCTAAAAACTATCCTTGTCAGGAAAAACCCACGTGAATAAACTGTAAAAAACACACATATTTGCTGTGCTGCTGAGTGTTTCACCTTTTAAAGCTGCTTGTCAAGTTTCATTGYAATCTCTTCTGACTTATCAGATCTTGAAAACTTCAAAACCCAATCTGTGAGGAGTGCTGTCAGTGTCCGTGAGGGTCAAGGAGTGGTTCTGCTCTGTGGTGCRCCCCCACATTCTGGAGGTAAGCTTTGCTAGTTCAAACCTTTTTTTTCTCATCTTCGTGTTTTGTAATGGGGACCTTCACTCAGGCTATTTTTATACCATTAGTCACGTGACTAAGGCTACGTTCACACTACAGGCAAATGTGACCCAAATCTGATTTTTTTGCCCCATCTGACCCATATCTGATTTTTTATGACAGTCTGAACGCGACAAATCCGATTTTTTCTAAATCTGACCCAGGCTGTTTCATCATGTGGTTCTAAATTAGATACATATCTGATGTTTTCAAAGTGACTGCAGTGTGAACGCTCATGTCACATTCCTTCTGACATTTTCATCAGTGAGGWGGAGGTGAAGGATCAATAAGACACTAACCTCAAGTCACACAGTTTAAATCTGTAGCTCCATGTGTTTACAGCTCCAAAACAGAAGACCAGTTGCTTTGTCTTTTTACTTTTAATTTTCCATGTAGATATTAATGTCCAGCCTCTGTGATGGAGCGTATTAATCCTAAAGTTAATCGGTCAATACTTTATGTTCAGCTCGTTGCTTTGTTCAAAAAATAAAAAGCTTCACTGGAGCATCCCGGTCAGAGGTAGGTTCAGATATAAACACTGAACTAAACAAGCAGGTCAGATAATTATTTAATCAGCTCTGATTAAACAACAACTTCAGATTCGACATGCAAAAAGGAGCATCCATGCTAGCTCTGTAAAGAAACAAGCCGGCTGAATGAGACGTCACGTCTTTTACTGTGCATGCGTGTCACATCAGTGCTGTGTAGAGATCACACTGGAGTCTGATGCAGGTCACATTTAAAATGCGATGTGAACGTTCACACCAAAAGATTTGACTTTTTTTTTTTTAAATCAGCATTGAGCGTAAAAACCTGCAGTGTGAACATAGCCAATGTCCTCTGGACACTGATGTGCATACAAACACTTGCAGCCGAGCTGCGCAGGTTTAGCCGTGTTTAAACTTAAACTTTAAATTCTGGAAAACAGCATAAAACTCCACTGGGAAGACCACAAAACAGTGTGCTACAGTGCTCGCAACTGACTCAGGGTACAGCCATCGTCCCAACATGAATGGAGTATTTTTTGTTACTTTTTCCAAGCTAAGATGCTAGAAAGCAGCTGGATTTGAGCAATGGGACTGGCTAAATTTGACCGGAAAAGATCATAGACTTAAMGTCTGCTCCAAACATTTAATTGGAGGTAAAAGACCAACACTGGACCACCCGGATCCTGTCCCTATATTTTCTGTCGATAAACAGGTTCAGTAAACCTTATTATTTTTACTGTAGCCCACTGCTTGCTTTACTCGTAGCCATTATGCTAGTAGCCTCATGCAGTGATCTACTGCAGTCAGTCCAACATATAGTGATAATGTTATACTTACACAAATTCTAAACATCACCATTAAGTTTCTTATCACTGGTGGCTCCAATGAATTCTGCTTGTTTTCCAAATCTGTTGAAGACCTCAAGCCATCCTTTCAGCTGAACTTGCCTGCGATTGCTGTAGTTGGATCAGTCGAAATTTGCTCTAGAAAGTCTTTTTCTGTTACGGTATTAACATCGAATCTCCGTAGAATCCACTCCAATTGTCCGATCAGTTGCGGATAATGTATGCAAATGATATGTCCCGAGTGAAAGTCCCCATTGAACTATGCTAGATAGAAATGACTTTCCTTCATTTTGCAATATTTGATAGCAAATCCCTCCCTGACAAGACACATCTGTTTTAAATGTATTTACAGTCTTTAACTCTACTAATGTTTCAATAAAATACTACTAAACCTTTTACAGATCAGAGTGTTACAGATTAAACRTAAAGAAAGGCTCTCATTTGACTAATTTAAGCGTTGGATAGGAAAACTGACACTCCTATCACATTGTGAATTTGAAGCTACAGGAAGCAGTTGCTTGGTTCACCTTCACACAGAAACTGGTAAGAAAAAAACTCAGGTAGCAAGGCACTGTCGAAAGGTGAAAAATCCTCTGCAAAACAGCACAGCTAGCTAATTAACACGGTGCATTGATTTGTTTATTCAGTAGAAAACTTTGTGGTTACAAAAAGGAAGTGAGCGGAGGGGAGGGGGGTCTTTAGTTGTAAAACACTTTGCCTACAACAAAAACCTGCTCCCTTTTAAACTCGAGGTTTACAAAAAGTCTTAATTAACAACTTCAGTAAAGCAAAAGTTGGAGTTTATTATTCGCACAGTATATATTGCTGCACYGGTTCTAATCTGTATGCTAACGAGAGCAGAGCTGTTGGCTGTAGCCTTGTGTTTCTGTACCAAATGTTCTAAAAAAWATGCTTTAATTGTTCAAGTGAGGAGCTGAGACTGTGTTCTATAAATGAGGGGCTACAAATAGAAGATTAAGTTGCAGGCTGCACAGCCCCACCGCTCTGCATATCTACCCAATGCGGAGGACATGCACAATGGCTGCTGCCTAGCTTGTCACCCTCTTGATACAATAGCTTGCACATTGGAGCAAGCAATTTCTTTCACAAGAGAACAGTTTGTCGAAGAGCATTGTACAGCTGGTCTTTGGGATAATTGGTCAAAGGAGTCTGTGTGAAATACAGTTTGACAGCATCCCTCTCTGACACAGGCTTATACGCGGCAGGGTGCTGCAACTGTAGTTCTTTTGTGTTTCACCACATTCTCAAAAGTGACTGAAAATAAAAGCAGTGTGAACCTTTCTATACCTTTCTTCCTTCTTCACCTTGCTCCTTCTCAACTCAGACTTGTTTTTTTTCCCCTGGATTTCTCTCCCCCCTTCCTCTCTTGAGTTTCAAAGCTCCGATGTGCCTTATAACCTTCCACTGCACTGCACTATATCAGACACATACAATATAAAACTTTTTTTATTACACTCAATTGGCTTAGAATTCAACATATGCTTTCTTTGCTGCAACCATATGTAATATCAAACCACCCCGATGTGACAAATTAAATGCAATATAGTCAGAAGTAGTGGGTTTTGTATTGCTTCTGTATGGCAACATATTTTCAGTTGTTTATTTAAAAGGCCATTTTAGGCTCTTTTTCTTCATAAAAGAGCTTGTGTTGTATTTATCACAGCACTTGACAAAGAATTGCACTGCAAAGTGCTATCACTGCACATAGTTCAGATTGGGGTTATGCTGACTCTGAGTTTCGTGGCTCTTGCTTCCTAATCAGAAGGAGCTTCGTATCTGCATCGCTGCACTCAGCTTGGACCGTTCAGCCCATCTAACACCAAGTGGCTCGCCCACTCGGGTGGCGCTACGCATGATTGACAGGCTTTGCGTACACCTTTTGACTCGGACCCTCCCTCCTCATTCCACCACCTCTAAAATAAAAGATCACACGGARCATCTTTTTTTTTCCTTCTAGAAAACAACATTGTAATTCAGCATGACAGGCCTTTCTTTTCTTATAGAACTGTCATTTGTGAGAAGAAATGACACAACGTGGTTGTGTGTGTGTGTCGATTCATTGATCCCTCAATCCATTCGTTGGTTATGACGTCCTCAAACTAAGTCGCTCAGGGATCAGGGGAATGGAGGCCATGTGTCAGGGGAGTGCCACTGAAGCACTGTAATCCAGTTTGTTTCGCTCCCTTTCCCCTGGTTTCCTATTTTTTCTGCACTGATAGCTATTACATTCTTGGTATCTCTTCCTAAGGAAACATGGATAAGGGGATGAAAAATAACTAACATGAAGTGGAGTTCTTTTGATTCAGCCACCCCATCCATGGACTCGAGGCCCATCTAAAGTGGACCAGCACAGCGTTAACTCAACTGTTATTCTTTCTGTTCTAGAGCTGGCATTTGCATGGATTTTCAATGAATATCCATACGCGGTCCAACAAGACAGTCGAAGATTTATCTCTCAGGAGACCGGGAGTTTGTACATTGCCAAAGTGGAGCCCTCTGATGTGGGAAACTACACCTGTGTGGTGAACAACACTGTCACAAAGGAGACAGTTCTCAGCTCTCCAACACCACTGGTCCTCAGGAGTGATGGTAAAAAAAACAACCAAATATTTTTCTTTTATGTTTAAATCTCATATACATTCAACTTTTTTCTATTAACAGACCTGTTCTTCGTTTTTTGTACACCAAAATTTAATCTAGTCTTTTACACACTAAAGTCAAACTTTGTGTTTCAACTTAAATAGAACAGAAAAAAAGACATGAGAAGTCTAATAAGACAAGAACATTACTCTACCATACACAATCCTGATAACTGTACTTACATGTACAATTACACACATTATACAAGATGCTCACTGAYAGAATGTTACATACGAATAAGCTAGAAACATTTGGTTTTCTTCTAGTAAAAAAAGGAAAAGTAATATTAGTTAACACTGATAAAACTAACTGCTTGTACTTGTCTTATTTTTTCACTGAATACAACTTGTAGAAAACTTTTATTCATGTGTTTCGTATAAAATTTGGACTCTTTTGAATATAATGTTGTTTTCTAAAATAAGATCCCAATATATTCAAGAGGAAAGTGATTTTTCAGTCATTTGTTTGCCTGAAGCACAGTTTCTGCACACCRACAAGGACATTCAAACTGCTTCATGTTCTTTCGTGCAATCATTGAACAGCAAGACATTGCWGAGCCGGGACTTTTGTTTAAATAAWAACACCAGTTCAGCAATGTAAAAATACCATAATACAAGCAATAATGTAAAAATAAAATAACATTTTCCTCCCTGTTGATGTATTATGCACGACAAAARGTAGATGATTAGTACTGATGAATCAGGGTGTAAGCAGCATGCTGTAGCCGTAGCTGCAAAGAAAATAGTTGAACAAATTTACAGTCACTCATAAATCTTGGGTCTTTTCACAAAATTAACAAGAGCAGAAAGAAAACAAAACTGAGCTGTGAATGGATGTAAATGGATATTTAACTTGACTGAACTGAAATCAAGCCATCCCCGGAAGCGATAGACACACACTTGAAATGTAAATTAAACTACACACAGCTTTTTTTTAGAACACCCAATTTGAAAATGTTAATTTCAATTACTTTGTGTTATATAATGGGTTTTTTGTGAAAAAAAAAGGTCTCCTTGTAACTAAAAACAAAGTTAACTGAATGTGGTGTTTTTTCCCCTTTAAAATTAATGAAATAAATTCAGCAAAGTTGAATGGAAACAGGTTTTAACATAAAATAATATACGTAGATATATATATTTTTGTGGTTGGTGTTTACTTTCTTTTATTTTTTTGTTTAGCAATGATATGACATTTTGTAAGCATCGGAGGCTTTGATGACCTAGAAAATGAGAAATCTATCTAATTCTTAATGGATTTGCCACACTGACACCAACTCAACAGACCCATTGTTCTGATTGGTGCCTCACTCACTGCATTAAAACTTAATGAGTTATTACCATCCAGTTATTACAAATTAATATTAACTTTGCATTATTGCTGCAATAATGCAATGCTTACATTTTTCAGAGTCTGTGATGTCTTTGAATCTGAAAGCACCGGACAGCAAAGCAGCTTTTGCTCCTGGGCACTGTGAATGTAATTGTAATGGTAAAGGGCATGCTGTAATATTTGCAAAGAAGCCTGTGACCCATTCCAGTGATGTGAATATAAATAAAGTCATAAATGAAGTTACATTCATAAATCTCTAAGAGTGATAAATCTCCACTAGTCTAATMTATTTCTTGATGTGTTCCCTGAATCTTTTATAACCCACCTCTTATTTCTCGCCTTCTTTATAAGCCCTTCAGTGGTCACTTTTGCTTCCTGCTTATTAAGACTTTTGTGTTTGCTGTCTGAGTGTGTTACAGCCTCTCATCTAACCCRAGTGTAATGTCCGCTGTTTATCACTGATTTAAAAAGCTTGTTGTCCATTGTCACCCTTTTCTAGGAGTAATGGGTGAATATGAGCCAAAGATAGAAGTTCATTTTCCCGATGCGGTTCCAGCTGCAAAAGAATCAGTGGTGAAACTGGAATGTTTTGCTCTGGGAAAGTAAGTAAACCTAAAGGTCTATCACATTGGTTATTTCCTGCATAAGTTAAAGCTTTTTAAGATGGTTTAATTGCAGCCAAGCATAACATGAATCATTGTCAGGTTTATCTGAAAACACAATGCCAGTCGGATTTGTAGGAAACACAAACTCACAAGGCTATTTTCCTACGTCATTTAATCACACTTTGATCACAGTGACTGACAGATCCCTTCGTTCTTTCTTTTGTTGTTGTTATTTTTGTAGCCCTGTCCCAGAAATTAGCTGGAGGAGAACCAGCGGCGTCCCATTCCCGAGCAAAGTCAAAATGAAGAATTCAAATGCCGTCCTTGAAGTTCCTAATTTCCAACAGGAGGACGCAGGGACCTACGAGTGCGTCGCAGAGAATCGGCGGGGCAAGAATGCTGCACGGGGTCGTGTTTCTTTCCATGGTGAGTTAGCCGTTTCAAATTTGTTGACGATGAAAGCAAAAAGACACAGATTGCTACAGATAACTGTACTTGTACAAGAAACACACATTTTTTTCCATCTTTATTTTGGAGATAATGTTTTTGCAGTGATCGTTGTATCATGAAATTCAAATTAAACTGTAAAACTCTGTATTTAATTRCATTAAATACAAACAAATTATTAATTCAAATATAAAGGATAAATGACTTGAATAATAATTCAACTAAAAAAGACAATAATAATTCATTTTAAATTTTAACATTTTGTATCATCAAAAACATGCCCTGGGATTACTTTTGTTCTGAACTGGTTAAAAAAAAAACAATTAAACTGAATTGAAACCAAAATTATTTTTATTTGTAATATATTTTAATGGGTTTAAGATCTAAATAGATCTGTATTTTTTCCTTTTTCTGATAACCTACATTTAGTTATGTGTAATGCTACAATTTCCTACCCCAGAAGTGCGTAAAACTAATTTTAATATGTTATTTTTTCTTTTTTTCTAAGCTAAACCTCAGTGGCTCCAGACAATGGCAGACACCGCGCTGTCCATAGAGGACAACCTTTTCTGGGAGTGTAAGGCCAGCGGAAAACCTAAACCATCCTACAGCTGGTTGAAGAATGGGGAGCACCTGATGGCAGAGGTACAAAGGTTTATCAGACTCACATGGAGATATGCTAAGCAATTTTGAATAAAAATTATAATTGTAAGATTTGCCAAAATTAGTCCACCCACTTCCTCTAGTTCGATGTTGGTTCTAGCATAACTTTTATTTATCTTAACAAGGTTGTCTCAGCTGTTGCTAAAATGTGTGAAACAGTTTGTGTTTTTCCACAGTTGAAACCCTGGCCAAATACTACTCAGTAGGGCAAAACATTTGGGGTTGATTAATCAACACTTCTCGCTTCTAAAAAGATGTGCAAAGCCGAAGAATGATGCACCGAGGATCTGTCGGAGAGACATAGCAGCATGAATGTGCAGAATACATGACAATTATCAGAAAGCATAAAAAGCTAAGAGAGGAATATGCAGGAAGAATCATTTAGCAGCACGGTGTGATTTATCAAACCTAAAACTTGTTGCGGCCGCTGTTTTAGTGTCTAAATTTAGCGTGTTTGAAAGGCAGGTGCAAACCGGCTGTGCAGTGATTCAGACACCGTTATCTGCTTTGTTGCAGCAGTGTGACACTTTAATATAATAAAACAGCTCAGCAGCTTTAAAAAAGTCTATGTAAAGCCCATCTCAGCTGTGGTGTTTTTGTTTTATTTGAATGTTTTAGTTGATCACCTGAGCTTTGACTAAGGATTTTGTTCCTTTCTGAATCTTCCTCCAAATGCAGCCTGCAWTACAATAACTGCACTCTAATAATTGAAATAGTCACAACTCTTGTGATTCAAACTTCAAACTCTTTAAAAGAGTGAAAATGAGAACGCGTATTTTTTCCATGACTCTCAGTTAAACAGTTATCTTTGCACTGATCTGTGTGCACTTCTCTGCTGGTTCGGTTGACAAATTAAGTTTATTTTAATGCGATGTAAGTATCACATCAAATTCATAACTGTGCAATGAAAAACAAATTAAACAAATAATCAAACTAACAAAACACTTTTATTTGTCAAGGACAGAAAGAGACTTGCAGCTCTGGAGCCGTGGGTTGACAATCTTTTTTCTATTAAAAATAAACTCCTTGCAACTCTGAGTTTTCTTGGTTCACACGCTAAATCCTCATTTTAACAGGACGGTCTGCACCATCTTTGCACCCGTTATTATTTGCACACACAGTCTTAGTATGTCGCACTCAACATGCCCACTTTTAACCCAGAATATTTTTTCACTGGACCAGCTAGTTAGTGCTTGTTATTTGGAATTTTGATAAATTAGCATTGCTTCTTACTTGTTTTAATTAATATAATTATTAACATTAAAACCAAAGCTGTTATCTGAATTTTAAGGTACTAGAAGGCTTTATTATATTTTACGTTGTTTTTAGCTTTGACATGATCATTTCAACATGATCTTAGTTGTTTAATGTTGTTGTGTATGTTTTAGTTTTTTTATTCTTTGCTCGTGCTGTAAATTCACAGTCTCAGGGAGAATAAAGTCTGACTTTTGTAGTTGCTTCAGTTTGTTGAGGTTTATGGACATTTGGTTCTGCACAGTTCCCACCACAGGGTTTCAATCAGGTTGAAGTTCTGGATTTTGACTGGATCATTGCAGTTTCTTTTAAGCCATTCTGATGTAGATCTGATCTGTGCTTGAGAACTGTCTCATTTCATGAGCCACTTTCAGCTGAACTTCAGCTGTTAAGCAAATGATCTTTTACTCCACAGTACGTTGGTCCACAGAGGAGCTTTTGTTTGACTGAATGATGTTCAGAACCGGTCCATATCATCACCACTCCACTGTGCTTATTGTGCTGTTATGCTATGATTGGTTTGGTGCTGTGATTCATGGCAGAACGCATCTCTTATTTTGCCTCATATGTCCAAAGGACCTTGTTCTAAAAGTCTGGTGATTCATTCAAATGCAACTTTGTGAACCTAAGTTGTGCTGCCATGTTCTTTTTCGTGAAAATGCACTTCTTCTGGCAACCTATCRAAACAAACCAGACTTGTTTTGCCTTTTTCTCATTGAACTGACATAAACTTTTAAGAGGCTTTCAGACCAAAACAGAAAAAGGCGGTGCTGTGCACTGGAATCTATTCTTTCCTATTGCATGCTTTGCACAAAAATGCTGTGTTCTTCTGTGCTGAGCAAATAGCAAGCAGAAAGAAAAAAATTGTATAGGTCTTCTGGACGGGTTCTTCTCTAATGAAACGTTTCATCTCTCCTCCAAGAGACTTCTTCAGTCTGAGAGTTTCAGGCAAAATTCAGGCTTTTAAGCACTGCCTCCATGTGACGGATACTCACATCACATGGCTATCGTTGACACCTAATTAACACCTATTGTTAACAGGGGGTGGAGTGATACTGGCAACAGTAGCACTGTAGGAGGGGGACAACTGAAAACKGAGGCCTCCACCTCTGTTTAATGATGGATGGTCTTTCATTAAACAGAGGTGGAGGCCTCCGTTTTCAGTTGTCCCCCTCCTACAGCGCTGCTATTGCCAGTATCACTCCACCCCTTGTTAACAATAGGTGTTAATTAGGTGTCAACGATAGCCATGTGATGTGAGTATCAGTCACATGGAGGCAGGGCTTAAAAGCCTGAATTTTGCCTGAAACTCTCAGACTGAAGAAGTCTCTTGGAGGAGAGACGAAACGTTTCATTAGAGAAGAACCCGTCCAGAAGACCTATACAATTTTTTTTCTTTTTGATTTTTTACCTGGATTACTGAGATGCATCAGGACAAAGAGCAAGCAGCTATGCAATGCAGTGCAAAGCTGAGTCCAGAGCTTCAGTTTGTTTATGTATTGTGACGCACAGTCGTGCAGCCAATAAACACATCAAACCGCTCCCCACTGAGCTGAAAAAAACCTATACAAATAACTGTATTGGCCAAAAGTAGCAGATCACTGTGGAAACAGAGCTCCTTCATCAGCCTGAATATTCCACATCAATGTCCTCGCTCGATCCTATTTGTGTACACACAAACATGCTCACACTATAGCTGCATCCCTTTTTTTTCTTCACTCAAGAAGGGAAATGCAATAACTGTTTTTTAAAGCAAAACAAATGCAATATTCTAGCAGACCCCTCCTGTACCAGCACCACATACAAATCTGAAGCTGCTCAGAAATATCCTCTGCTCGGGGAGTCATGTGATACAGCCACTGCGGGAGGATGTGTGTCTGTGAGCTCCGGGTATAAGCTTCAGTGTTGATGACTTCTTAATAACAAATATATCGCTCCAGATATTGGATATATATTTTTTAAAAATTGTGGAAAATTATTTTCTACCTGGAACTAACTAATTGTGGTTGAAATTCTAATTTTTTTTTGTTTTTTTTGGAAGTTTTTGTCTCAAGACAGAGTGCTCGCACGTGGGGAAGGTGGTGACTGATCAAGATAAACCAGTACTAAAATCCCTTCAAAAGAGGAGCTTACTCAGTTCAGATTTTAAGAGTGTGTATTGTTTGGAGGTCGTTTTATATTATCGATATCACCAAAAGAMAGGCAAATCTCTTGACAATACTGTCACTGCGAAAAAACTGAACCTGGTTTTCTTTTTAAGACTCCAGGAGTAAATGAATTTTGGAGAAACTTTTATCAAATATGTGAGAATGCTCTTTAATGGCCCAGATCACATACAGCAGGTAAAATAAGTATGGAACACGTCACCATTTTTCTCAGTAAATATATTACTAGAGGTGCTAATGACATGAAATTTTCACCAGATG